TCAAACATATATATTTTATTCAAAAATAAAAACATTATCACTTTCTCAAAATCACATAAAGCCATATTATAATATCGACTGAGATAAAGAATAAAATGAAATATTAAAATCATGATGCATCTCGCTGCATTGCGCGAGTACGCTTCTAGTATTAAAAAAGAAGAGTTATAGTTTTCTTGAAAAAATTAATTTTAAGAGATCCAAAATTTAAACAAATGGTACAATGTATTTATGCACATAGGGGCTGTTTGCCAATTGATGAATAGTTTGATGCAGAATAATCAAGTGGTCAAATGATTTAGAGGCACTCATGATATATTGCATAATGAAATATAAATAACATTCTTAAACTTAAAAAACTCGGATTTGGTCCTTCACGTTTGTCATTATCTAACGGTTTTCGTCTCTCCGTCTAACCGTCGTTAATTTTGTTCGTTAAATCTAGTTTAACGAAGAGTATTTAGTCATTTTCTTTCTTTTCTATTAAATAAAAAAAACATATTATATGTTATTAATTATTTATTGTAAAATAAATAAAGACAAGAAAAATAATAGGAACCCCACCTAAATACTATTACTTTCTCTTTGTTCTCTTTCTCTCTCCTATCCACCCCAAAAGAAGTCCCGATCACGTATAAACAAAACCATCGCCCCTCCATTTTTTATCCGTTGGCAAATAACCAACTTCGCCCCCTATATTTTCCACTCATGTTATCAAACAAAACCCTCGATTTTTTAACTGGAAGAAAAGACCCACCAACGTCAATAAACCCATCGTTGGGGCGTTCGTCGCGGGGAAAAGAATAGAGTTGTGGGCTTTGTATCTATCGATAGTGTTTATTGGGTGGGTTGGTCGGATGAAGTTTGCTGATGGGGTTTGTTGGCAGAGGCCTCCATTCTTTTCACACACACACAGAGAGAGAGAGAGAGAGAGATGGCTATCAGTGATGGTAGATGTTTGGTAAACAATGTGCTAAAAACGAAACAAGTTTTTATTTTCATGAACTTTTACATACATCTGATCACTTTCACATGTATGAATTTATTAAAGTTTCAGTAACAATGATAAAAACATGTATATAAAGTAGTTGAATATATTGTTCTCATCTTCTCACTGGAATCCACTCATATATATATATATATAATGTTATATGTAAGCAGTTTGAAAGTTTAAACATCAAATCAGTACTTCAATCAACATATTCGACAAACTCGTAAGGTTTAGTTTTAAACCAAGTCAGGCAATTAAACTGTCTAGACCATAAAAAATGACCTGATTTGATTTGATTTGACCAGTTTTTTTAATCAACGGTTATTATAAACACCCCGACATCCCTATATAAAATCAACATAATTCATAACGAAATATATATATATTTTTTTAGTTTTTAGAGTAAATTACGACTTTCATCCCTGTTGTTTGTTAATAAATGTGATTGTTTTCCCTATGATTTAGAAATTGTAATTTTCGTTCATATGGTTCATAATTTATTCTATTTTCGTCTCTGAACTAGTTCCTATTTTTAAGAATAAATGATCAAAACAATAAAGAATTGTAAGCCATGGAGACAGAAACAATGATAAATTATAAATCATAAGGACGAAAATGACGATATATTATAAATAATAGGAATGAAACCTGTAATTTCTAAACCACAAGGATAATAATCGTAAATTTTAATAAACCATAGGGACGGAAAACGTAATTTACTTTTTAAAATTTAAACCGATAAACGAGCAGAAAGGCCAACTCCAAAGCCCACTTAACGAAGCCCAAATCAGCACACCCAATTCCGGCTGCGCCTAGATTATTTCATCCGATCGACCCGTAATCCCGCTGCATCCTTGCCTCTTCCGTGGTTTCTAGGTCATCGATTCTCCGTACCTGCTTTTGCGCGAATACTCTCACTTTATCATCGATCAGGCAAGTCTATAATAACTCGATTTGATTCCTTTGTCGATTGCATCGTAGAAATTTAATTTAATGTCTAGGTTTATTGTTTGTAGAGTTAGATCGTAACAAGTCCATAGTTATGCAGCGTCTTGTTTGATTGTTCTTTTGCTAGAGGATATATGGAGTGTAACGTTTACGAGCTCTATTTTCTGGTCAAATTGCATCTCAATCTGTATTGCAAGTTTCTCGATCTGTATACTGTATTTTGGTTTCGGAAATATCTGTTTAGATTTGAGTTAAGAGTCTTGTTTGAATTCTGGGATGGAATTGAACTTTGTGAGCGTGATGAGTTACAGGTGTCATCGAGCTTGTGTTGGAAATGGGTCGCCAGATGCTATTGAGCTAAAATTAAAAAAAGTGGAATAAAATTGATGACATGCTTGTATTATGGGTGTGAAATTGTTAATTTTCATTTCTTTATCAAGGGTTTGGGTGTTTGTCCTAATTACGATTGATTGGGTATGAGTTTGATTCATTGACTCAGCCGGTGCTGCAAGATGTATGTTAAGCATGAGTGTAGATAGATGGAAATTTGGCCAATCATTGATGGTCCGTTTATATTAGTGTGTATGTGCACTTTTTCAGAAAGCTATAGTTTATGGTAATGCCTCTGATTCAAATTAGTGGCTTTGCTTGTTCAATGAATCCATGTTATGAGATGCATGTTTTTAGGGGGATTTGGTAGGCTGCACCGGACAGAGCAGAACACCCTGTCAGAACACCCTGTCCCATGTTTGGCGTGGCTTTATGTGGAACAGACAGGAACTAACTTGGACAAATGTCGAGCACGCCTGTTCCCTCCTATCCATGGAACTAAGGGGCTGTTTGGTTGGTTTTCCATTATGTCCTATACGGATAAAGCTGTCCGTATGGATTAATATGTCTATATAGATTGAGAAGGTTTTTATGTGGAAGGGTGTTCTCATAGATGAAAGGAGCGTGTTTTTTAAGAGGGCCAAGTTGTAAAAAAACTTGGCTTTCTGCATAAAGCTCTGCATAGAAGCTTACTGAATAAGCCACTTTCTATATCATTAAGCCACTACCAAACAATCATGTATAGCTGACCGAATAAGTTGGGAGTCCCATTAAGGTCATTAAGCTACTAACAAACAGGCCCTAAAACAAACAGGTCTTAAGTGGAACAAGACCTAATGTACCATTACACCCCTCAAGCTAATACACCTCTCTTCTCTTTAAAGCCTCTCATACTGAAATCGAAGGCTTTGAAATCAAAGATCGTCTCAGGTTATCGTCTCAAGTAATCGCCTCATTTTTCATGCATCCCTCTTCAGGTAAACCCTAGATCGATCGATTTTGATGATCTGTCTGCATAAATCGATTTCGGTTTTCTCTCTGATCCGTCTCGACTTTTGGTTTCTCTCAGATTTCAGTATTCTCTCTGATATTTTGTTCTATCTGCATAAATCGATTTTTGTTTCTGTGATCTGTTTTCTCTCATTGTTTTCTGTTTTTATTTGGTTTACCTTTGTTCATATGAATCACCTGTCTATACGAATTACCTTTGTTACTTTTTTAATATGCAACTTACATATCTACAATATCAAAAATGCAATCCTGTCGATTATTGTAATTTTGTTCAGATTGAGGATGAGTTTTATCATGAGCTATGAACATGTCGATTATTTTAAATTTGTCATATGCTTTACTACAAAATATGAATCACTTGATTTTCTAGCATAAATCAATCGTTGTTAATGCGATTGTTTATCAGGTAAAAAAACACTAAAAAACTCACTGGGGTTAAATTGGTCATTTAACCAGTCCTTTCACGTCTTACCAAATGCTGAACAACTGTCTTGTTCTGTCATGTCTGCGTACTAAACACACCCTTAATTAGCTTTCTAGTCCATAATTGTAGTCCACTGTACAAAAGATAATTATTTTGTATACAAAAAGCCTCTTTACATGGAAAATATACAACTGTCGTTATTTTTACTAATTAGGGTTAATCTCTCTAGAACTGCAAATTACATAAGTAGGCCATTGTGAAAATCGGGTGATAACATCGTCTAACTTGTAAATACCCTTTCTCCAGCTTGGGTATAATGTACAAGCATCCAAACATGAACTAAGTGGCTCAAAATTTGTATTCCAGTTCTAGAAATGCATCTTTTTCTCAGGGACAATCTGATCTAATTTTCTCACTTTATTCTATGAGTGAAGAATTAATTCTGTTCGTGTCATTTAGTTGGATGTGTGTTTAATTTGCAATAAATAGGAACGACTGTTGTCATTCTCCATTTTCATCAACAATGTTTCCTTAAACCACACAAGAACGGTTACTCCTAAACGTTGAAGATGGACCACTATTCATATTTTAGGAACCCAGGATTCATTTTCTATACCATCAATGTGTTTGTATCTTTTCAGGTTACATTAACTTGGACTGTTATTGAGTTGATAGAGATCTGATCTGTGTTGGTGTTTTTTATTTTATTACAAGTTTTACCATCTTCCTATAAGCTTTTAGAAAAGGCCATAAAAACCAGACCAAACCAACCCAATATATCCCATTGAAAGTCAAAGTAGCGTCTGAAGGTGGGATGGACGCAGACCTGCCATCTACTCCAAAGGCCATTTATTGCTTTAACTTCAGGGATAATATCCAGAAGCATGTCCTCATTTTTATAGTTCTTTTGTATTTTGTTTACTTTCTTATCTGTGTGACAAACTTGAAAATCTTGATATCAAGATTGAATTTGGTTTATATTTATCTTTCTCTTTTAGTCACTTTTAGAAACTAATTGTTGACTGGTGATGCACAACAAACATTCGGATTGGTAATGCATCGGTTATCAGTTGTGGGTTGAGTTAAACTGCTTACTACTGGTTCATAATTATTTGATTTTATTGCAAGATGTTAATTGTGACCAGTTCTACTCTACATTAGAAGTGCTTTGTTCTTTGTGATATACAAACATAATATATTTCATCGTTCGACATACATATTTTTAAGTATAAGAAGTGAAATCGATTTGAAGACTTTTACTAATGAAAATTGGTACTTATTTATTCGATTTATATTTCATGACTTGAACTATTGTTGTTACATGATACGTATTACTATTATCATCTATGTTGCTTTGTTAATTTGTTAAAGCTTTAGGGCTATTTGTTTTTTTCTTCACTAAGTGGCGTTCAGATAAATGATATTTGTTTGGAGTAAATGCTAACTGCACAAATGTTGTTTCTTTTTTATGCTTAATGAACAATCTAAATGACAGAAAATTGTACTTTTAACATTCTATGAAATATAATTATAAAACAAGATTTATTGATAATTGATAAAATAGTTTGAGCAACATGTTTCCCCGATTCATGAGAAGGCCGTTGGAGGTGTTAACAACATCCACAACTGTTTCTTATAACTATATTTCAAGGTAAATAGCTCATAATAAAACATGAATTTACTGTACACAATATTCTAATAACATGACATTCTTGGCTCTACTAAAACGATACAAGTAATAAAGTACATTATGGATGTGTTCTTGCTGCAATATGTACCAATGTTGAAAGGTTGCTTATGCACATTTTCAGTCACTGAAGTTGTTGCCTGCTCTGTGTGTGAATTTCTTGCTTGCATCCCATTCTTGTGAAATCCAGAAAAATGTTCCCCGATGAAGCCTCTATTAAATACTCTATTGGTTTAGTCCCGACTCCTGATTTGCGATTTGTCCCGGTGCCAAATGCATCTGTAGAGCACAAAACACCCTGGTGAACAGCTTAGCTTACAGCACAGCGTGTTCGCCACCACACTGGCTGGCTGGTGCATTGCCCCTTTGAGTGAAGAAGAGAAGGGCCTATAAAGACATGCCACACTTGAGGCCTTACCAAAACAAGCACTCTACTCTTTGGGGTATATGTCAGGTTTGTGTTCTTCTCATCCCTGACCTGTAGGATCCCACATCGGTTGGGGAAGGGAACTAAGGTTGCTTTAAAAAGGGACTGGATACATCCTCTATCTGGCGCGTTTTAAACCGTGAGTTCAAGTGTGGACAAAACGGACAATATCTGGTACGATTGGCTTGAGATGCTACAAATGGTATCAGAGCAAGGAACTGATTCCTAAACCGGACTGGTGTGCCAGCGAGGATGTTGGTCTTCCAAAAGGGATGGATTGTAAGATCTTACATGGGTTGGGAGAACTAAGATTGCCTTGTAAGGGAGGGATTGGATACCTTCTCTATCAGACGTGTTTTAAAACCGTGAGTCCAGGTGTGGATAAAGCGGACAATATTTGGTACGGTTGGCTTGAGATGTTACACGACCCTACCTTTGAGTGACATACATCGAGTTCATTTGGTTTGGTTACATTCATACACTCTTAACATTAGGGAAAATTTAAAATGTGATATTTATACTGCAGGATGTCGGACGAGGCACCTTTTAGACCGAGAGAACAGCTCATTGAGAAGCAAAGATTGTTTCAAAGCATCCACAAACACACTCATCTGAAAGGTCCTGTGGACAAGCTCACATCCGTTGCCATTCCTCTCGCTCTCGCGGGTTCTTGTTTGTTTCTCATTGTGAGTTCCCTACTTTCTCCAAAACAACTTTTGGCATGTGTGTGGCAATGTTCTCTTATAACACATTTGCATATTTTTATTTAGGGACGGGGAATCTATAACATGTCTCATGGAATCGGAAAGAAAGAATGAGAATCTGAAGTTTTTTCCCCAATGAAGGCACATAAACAGTTTACTACTTTTGAATTCCCTTTTCGTATTAGACTCTCGCGTTGTTCGAGTTTCTGGTTTTATGAACTTTGAATAATTATGTGGTAGCAGACGTGTTGCTAGCAACGGTGGTCTGATATCGGTCATCATTTATTTGTTTGGCAGCGGGTTGAACCTGCACCGCTGCATTTTGACGTTATATTTTCTGTTCTTTTAGCATGAATGTGAATGGTAAGGGCTTAGCTTGATGGCCATCTCTTGGGTCAATAAGGGTAGTTCGTTTTACTCCCCAAGTTCGCATTCTCGTTGGGTGCAAAAACTCCTGTGGTCATGCCAACCCCCATAGAGGGCATTGCCGGTTTAGGTCTATGTGGCGGCGGGCCCTGATCATGTGGATTAGTGCACCTTCCGGTTTCCTTAACCACTCAAACCTGTTGGGGTCTTTGCAATACAAGTTATGTTGGTCTTGAACCTAAGGGGTCGTTTACTAAATGCTTACCGAGCAAGCGCTTACCATGTGTCAATTACCTTATCGAGTGAGCATGGCAAGGACCAAGATTTTACCCGGTAAAAGGCATAGCAACGGTTGAGAATTTGTTAGGTGAGGGAAAATACTCTTACCCGGTAAAAGGCATAGCAAGGGTTGAGAATGTAGAAATGCCTTGCACATTTTTGTAAACTTGATTTTCATATAACAAAATATCTTTATGCAAATTTGCTTAAGGATCCACATTTGTATAAAGAATTTACAAAAACCCATTTACATAGTTTTTTCTTCCTACTTATTATACTTAAAATTAAAGGGATGAATTAATTAAAATAGCCCATTTTTAGGCTTTGAATTCATCTCTTAACATTTTCTATCCCGAAATTTCATAAACATGTTATTTTTGCAAGTAACAATTTTTCAACTTATGGAGGGGTGAAAATGTAAAAAAATAATTTCTGGACATGGTCCTTGAATACAGGGAGCAAACCTATAAATTAGTTCCAACACGCAAGTGACAAAGCGCCACTTGACCTTTATCTAACTTACAGATTTGGTCCATGTAAATGCGGATCATGTTTAGAATTTTTCTTACGTTTTGATTCCTCCGTGAATTGAGAAAGTGCCATTTGTAAAGGTAATGATATTTTTAAAACTTGAGAAGAGAAATAGCTAAGAGATGAATCAAAAGACTGAAAATTACTATTTCGATTAATTTCCCAAAAGAGTAATCAATTTGAAAGTAAAAGAGAAAAGTTATGTACATGGAAGGAGATAAGGAAGCTATGTTGTTGTATTAAAGAAGATATAAGATCACCATCTCCCACCACTTCTTCCTCCTCAAACCAAAGTGCAACCCAACACAACTTAAATTGTATGGGTTGGTCAAATTGATACTTTGGTACATCAAAATATGTTTTTAGTTTTGAAAATTTTGTTTTCTCTATTCATAACTTTTTTTTCATCATCAATCGTTTGGTAGAGCTTACTCGGCTTCTTAAATACTAAATATATCCTATTCAACTATTTTACTCGGTTTGTATATATGTTCACATTTACTGAATATATATACAAAGAAGTTACATAGAAATAAAAAAATATCGAAAACATAGGTATTTGAAGATGGTACATGATGGTGTAATTTTCTAATGTACATATTAATTGAGACTTTACAATTATATTAATACCAAAAAATAAAAGGATATTGGGTTCATCGGATTGAGTTTGGGTTCGAACAATCATAACCCATATCCAATCCTATGCCTATGGTTTGAAGATTTTACAACTCGATTACATATCGGGTTGCTTCGGGTTAGGTTGGGGTGGCCGGGGTTTTGAGCACTCTTAATTGTGTTATTAAACTATAAGGGGCAAACATGAGCATTTTCAAAGTTAATACCTAACTTTAATAAACAAGTAAAAGTACAGGGACCAAAAATTCAACATGCCAAAAGATACTCAACTCGCTCGCGCTATTAAGATCGTCGTCTGGTAAAAATCCGCTCAAACCCACGACAGTCACCGGCTCCATTTTCATCCAAGCGAAAGAGCTCTCATCATAGCTGCGATAGAACCTCATCAATGGTGGTTTTAGACTTCAACACTGATATTTCACTGTTTTCTGTCTGAGAATTTGGTTTCCTCCGCCGTTAACATGCGGTCAAAAGACAAAATTTCCTACTTCTACGATGGTATGTTTTTCAAGCTCCTTTTTCTCTATCTGTATATGCACGTACCATTGTCGAGAAAATATTCTTGCAGTATCCTGATTCAGTTCTTCTAGATCCTTTTCAACTTATTTTTGATTGTTTTGCCTGATAATCCCAAACCCTAGAACTTTATGTACTGGTGAGATAGCTGTTTGTTTTTAACAGGGACGAAAACGAATAGTTTTCTCTGCGTATGAGAGCTGCGATTATTTTGCTAACAATTGGTTATGAAAATGATTGTGAAAATTGGGGTAATCTACTTTTGCAGGGGATGTTGGTAATGTTTATTTTGGACCGAACCATCCAATGAAGCCGCATCGGTTATGTATGACTCATCATCTGGTGCTTTCGTATGAACTTCACAAGAAGATGGAAATTTATGTTAGCTTTTCTGTCTAGTCTTTGGTTTCTGGTACTGAGGTTGATAACTTGATATGTTTCGTTGATGATATATAATGTGTGATATTAATACAGAGGCCTCATAAGGCATATCCAGTGGAGCTAGCTCAGTTTCACTCGGCCGATTATGTGGAGTTTTTGCAGCGGATAAACCCAGATACCCAACATTTGTTTCCAGAGGAAATGGCAAAGTGTAAGAAATTTGTTTGGACGGCTTCTGGATAATACTAAGCAGATGTTTGTAATGCCTGATTTAAAGGAGATTTAGCATTTCTATTTCGGGCAAGGTCTAAATGTTTTATCATGGTGTGAAGAGACATAATTTACTTGGAAAATCATAGGTTTAAATTTCATTGTTCTGTTTTGGTGTTATTGGATCTTTCAATAGTATTGCTCGTAACTGTTCCCATGTCTTTGAAGATTCATCAACCTTCATGAAAATAGATGTACCAAATTGACTGCTTGAGTTACTTTTTTGTTCCGAACATCCTTTCATATATGGTCTGGGTGGTAATGAGCTTGGCTGTTCCATTGCATAGCATAATCATGTCAGTACAGCTTTTGCATGTCTCTATGTGCTAACAAGAAGTAGTTCACCAAAAGTTTACGTATGCAAAAGTTCACTACAAAGAAAGCCAAATGCAGGTGTCTTGTTTTCACACAAGTGTATGAATGTGACTTAGTGTGGACACCGATGACTTCCCTGGTGTCAGGTCCTACAAGTATATTAGTTTGTCCTCTCTGTGTTTCTTTTTTTGATCCCTGTTAAGGATATTAATCTCAATTACTTGCACCTAATACACCTATTAAGACTTGTTACACTGTCAATTTCTATCTAACCTTATTCGATATTCAGTTAAACTTGGAGAAGATTGTCCTGTCTTTGATGATTTGTTTGAGTTTTGCCAAATATATGCTGGCGGAACAATTGGTAAGTTTCAGCTCAAAGAGTATTTTAGTTAAAAATACAATTTTCATGCATACATTGTATTTATCCTTGCTAGCAGATGCTGCACGCAGATTAAATAATCAGCTTTGCGACATTGCCATAAATTGGGCTGGGGGATTACACCATGCCAAAAAGTGCGAGGCGTCTGGATTTTGTTATATCAATGACTTGGTTTTGGGCATTTTGGAGCTTCTCAAGTATCATGCACGTGTTCTGTATATTGATATAGATGTTCATCATGGTGATGGTGTAGAAGAAGCCTTTTACTTCACTGACAGGTAACAGGATTTTCACATTCTGTAGTTTCACACCGACAATAAAATAGATATTTATGGAAGATTCAATTATAATTTATCAAAATGTGAGTGAAAGTTTGGGATAAGTAGCTTCATCTCCTGAGTAACATGATTTGGTTGCCTCATAGTCGTAGTATCTCCTTCCATTTTTCAAACAATGTTAGTAGAGAAACAATTTTAATGGATGTTGTTAGAAACATATTGGAATTTAGACGACTGACCATATATCAATATGTTAAAATAATCACTGTTATACTTATTTTACACCCATTTTGTCTCTGGCACAAGTTCTAATTTGTGATACTCTAACTTGTCAGGGTAATGACTGTTAGTTTTCACAAGTACGGAAATATGTTCTTTCCTGGATCTGGTGATGTTAAGGTACTTGACACTCCCCTGTTTTTTGTATAGTTACTATTTGGAGTTTGAACTGTTCACAGTGTGTTTTAGCATGTGCTGCTTATTTTTTGTGGAGTTGATAATACCAGCGATGCTAATGTAAAGGGGTTGCTAATGGATCAGTGGTCTACCAGGCTTAACACTTGTGCATGAGATCCTACATTTGTCCCTGAGGCAGACTAGAAATACCCTTTCACCTGTCACAATGGAAACCGATTTTTTTTTTCCTGGTTGGCAGGAATTGGTTGTGTGATTGGACCTTTGGAAGCAAGCCATTAAAATTTTGCTTTCCTTGTATGTGTTTCATTATATCAAGGCAATCAATCCCTTCTGCAGTGCACAATAAAATAGGTTGCCATCTCAAGTTCTCTATTCTCTTCTCCATCCATATTCTAAGCCAACAGTTGTGTGTTCTCTTTCCTCGTTTCTGGTGCCCATGTCCATGTTTGAGGTGAAGTTTATGGCCAAAGTGGCATACCAAGCTATTATATTGTTTATGTATTAACTATTCTTCTTTTTGCATCCTTGTTTGTATGGATTTCATTAGAGTTTCATTTATTTATATCATTCCTGTTGATTCTCCGTCATTTTGTGATTCCTTCTTTAGGTCACATTGCATCTAGTAAATGGGACCTGGTCACATCTTCATTTCTTCTCACAACATATAAATGGTACCTACACAATAAAATGGCAAATGACTAGATGAGTAGAAGCTAGAATCTTTTGAAAAAAATATAGCTACAGTATAATTTAGTGCAAGCAATTATCAACACAGTGGACTATGTAGTAATGGAAGGTTCTCTGTGAATTATATATCCAGATTTGAGCTAAATAATGATATAGATGGGTTAGAAAACGAATCTCAGGTTTATTTGATTTGGATAAGAATGTTTCTGCAAATGTTTGTTTGGCATTCTTGACATATGAGAGGTAGTATGAATCATGAATTCATGATAATGATAAATTTCTTCAACTGAAACTGTGGTGATACCATACCGTGGATATTTTTGTGTTGGCAACTTGAAGTGATTATTTCTTAATCCTAAGAGGTGATTTTGTCTTTATCATAGTTAAAGATCATAGCTAGAATGTGGGCGTTGTGAGTATGACTCATTTGGAGCTCATTATGAAGCCAGAATTAAAACGAAAGTCATGGATCTTATTTGTGTTGTAGGAAATTGGTGAACGAGAAGGAAAATTCTATGCGATTAATGTCCCTTTGAAGGATGGCATAGACGACACGAGTTTTACTCGATTGTTTAAAACCGTAAGTTTCAAGTAGAAGAAGTATCAGAACTTAGACGTCTTTCCTGTTTTTCATTATAATGATGGCACTGATATAAGGCTGGATTTCAATGTCTGAATTTTGTAGATCATCACGAAGGTTGTTGAAACATATCAACCAGGTGTGATAGTTCTCCAGTGCGGGGCAGATTCACTTGCTGGGGACCGGCTGGGCTGCTTCAACCTCTCTATAGATGGTGCTAGTCTTATTGTAATTAAAACCTACTTGGTTATTGTTTTCAGTGCATTCACATTGCATCAATTAACTTGGATATCTTTAGCATGTCCAAGTAACAGATGAATTGGCTTATGCTGAATTACTTACTTCTTGTTACTTTTGAACTGCTTCTTACAGGACATGCAGAATGTGTTAGGATTGTAAAAAAATTTAATTTGCCTCTGCTGGTAGGTTTATTTTCTAATGAAATCTGCCTTGTGTTCTAAGCTGTTATCTATTAGAAACTAATATGGCAGGTTTTCGTGCAGGTAACTGGAGGTGGAGGATATACCAAAGAGAATGTTGCTCGGTGTTGGACTGTTGAAACCGGAGTTCTTTTAGACACGGAGCTTGCTAATGGTATATATTTCTATCATAATTGTTTCATGTGCTACTTGGGTTACAAGGTCTTTTAATATTTTTATCCCAGATTAGCACCATATCACTATTTTTTTGCAAAGTTTTTTGCTTCATTAAGAAAGATTAAAAGATAAGAGGCATAAATGCAGAATCATATTCTTTTGGTTGAAAGCAACCATTTCTTTTGCTTTTGATTCTAGATAGAAAGTTACTTTCTTTTAATCCAATTTATTTCATTTGTCCTTTGTGGTTGCCATTCCCATGATACGAGGGTTATGTTAGAGTGCTAGCTGTTTGGGGTTGAGATGTGAAATGAAACTGAATGTGATAAATGCACTGCTTAATAAAATTCTGATGCTGTCTTATCCACGATTGATGAGTTTACAAGTTATGCAAATTTGTAATTTGATTGGAATCAAGTCAAAATGATTACATGTTCTCCTTGCATTCCTTTCTGGTGGTATTTTGTAGAAGCTGGTGTATGGTTCTCCTTCATCTGTCTCCTTTGCGTATGTTTGTTTGTGTTACTTAACTTGTTAATGTCTGTCTCTCTTTCCTATCTAATTCACTTCTATTTGTTATAATTTTCTCCTTGTTGATGGAAGTTGCAATGCTTGTAGAATCGTCCACTATTGCATATTTATATTAAGTCCGAATATTTGTCATCTGCTTTCTTTACTTTAGCAATGAATTTTCTGTAGCTCGGTTGTGGTGATCATTTCCTTGTATATCTAGAACTTCTACGTCGTCCTTCTGTTTCTATAACTCAAGATGCATGATTGATGTCTTCACATCATAGGTTCTGCTATATGTTTGATTTCACTTTAATGTGGTCTATTTCTTTATCAATATCTCAATAGGGGCCGATTCAAATAAAAATGCTAAATATCGTGAGAAGGTAAGAAGGGAAGGTTCATATGTGAATCATTGAAAAAATCTCTATGGATATGCTTATGTGAACTGACATTACAAATTATTCATATAGGTTCACATATGCATCTTCAAATAGATTTTAACCTTCCCTTCTTACCTTCTCACGATATTTAGCCTTCTTATTTGAGTCTCTCACTATCTCAATATGTTTTATTTAACACTTGGTGGATATGACATTTCTAAGGACAGAGTTACTGGAGACGTGGGACTAAGGTAGTAGACTTGGGTGTTTGGGGAACCTGTAGCTAGGGCTGTAAAGGAACCGAACGAACACGAACGGAGGCTTGTTTGTGTTCGTTCATTTAACTTAACCGAAGAAATGAACGAATACGAAACAAACGATTTTTTTTGTGTGTTCATGTTCGTTCGTTAAGAAAACATGCTTGTTTGTGTTTGTTTATGTTCGTTCGTTTACGAACGCGAAATGAACGATTTTTTTTGTGTTCATGTTCGTCCGTTAAGAAAATATGCTTGCTTGTGTTCGTTTATGTTCGTTAAGATGCTAAACGAACAAACACAAATATACTAAAAGCAACCACCATTACTCATCGTTTCGTTCCTAAAAAATAACATAACGAAATGAAAAACCGAGTAAATAGGAGAGATAAAAAAGGAATTCTGAAATATATTTCACATATTAATGTCATAATATATAAATGTATTTATATATAAATGAACGAACAAGACCATTGTTCATGTTCGTCCACTTAACTAAACAAACCAAAAAAAACGTGATCATGTTCGTTCTTTATTAAATAAATAAACATAAAAGAACTTCCTGCCGAATGCTTCGCTGAACGTTCGGTTCGTTTGCAGCCCTACCTGTAGCTAGTGTGGATAGGAAGAAGGGAGCTAGAGAGGTATATGGTGGGTCAGGGGGAGGGTTGGGGAGCTGATTATATGAAGGGTTGTGTTTGTTTCATTACTTTTTATATGTTTCATTGTGCCTGTTCCAATTTCTTTCTTTTCCTGCAAATGCTACCATTTACTTGTCTTTGGTCTTTTTCTCTCTTTTCACCCACACTTTTTTCTTTGGGGCACTGACCCTGCTTTCGAGTGGGGATATACCAGGTTCATTTGATTTGGTTATTTAACACAATTGGTGGATCTACATCCTTTGTCCACTATAGGGATGACATTTATCTGAAATTACTTTGTTTCATGTGAACTAAACCTCTTCCTCCTTTTGCAGAGATCCCAGACAATGACTATATCAAGTATTTTGCTCCAGAGTGTTCGTTAAGGATTCCAAGTGGTCATATTGTAAGTCATTTCCTTCTTTCCTTATTCTGTTCGGTTATCTGGATTTGAGCAATTCTGAGTTTTCATTTTACTTGCGGTATTTTCTAGAGAATGTGGTGTCTGCATACTGTGTAGGCTTTTATATCATACCAGTCTCATATGGTGATGCTCTTGATCATCATTTATTTCGGATATTTAGCCATATGACCTTCATGATTTAATTTTTTAAATCCATGACCTCCTGATCTACTAGGGAAAAATGGCTCCATGCTCATGAGAAGGTCATGGATTTGATTAAAAATGAGTTTTTAGGTTATTTTCCAAAATGACGCTGATTTGTTTGTTGCTGGGTTGGACAGGAAAATTTCAACAGCAAGTCCTACCTAGGCACCATAAAGATGCAAGTTATGGAAAATCTACGTTGCATCCAACATGCCCCAAGCGTACAAATGCAAGAGGCAAGTAGTATAAAAACAAACTCGAGTACTAGGATAATTATCGTAGTTACACATGAAATACCTTCTTGTTCACATCTATCTTGCTTGATTGATGGTGAAACACTTCCATTATGCAATTATTTTGGCATAGAGGGGTATGAGTTAATTTATTGTTTCTAACTTTTCGACCAAGTATCAATTGAGAAATTTTTTAAAAATGGCATGATTGTGGTGACGGTAGTAGAAAGACGAGATCACCTCAATGACTTGTATTCACACCGTCCCATGAAAATTACGACAATTTCCAGGATGTTGAAAGAAAAGTGCAGCCTTTCCCTTTCCGAGAAGTTTCCTAGTTAAAATTGTAAACAGGATTGTAACCATAGGATTTGGCTTTTGGATGACCAAACTCTCAGGGTGTGTTTGGTACATAGGACATGACAAGCGAGGATAGAACAAAAACTTGTTGTCCCACATTTGGTGTGACATTTAGAACAAAAATCAGATTGGTAAATTACTAAACTACACATGCCAAATTCAAACCCTTAAAACCTTGAACAATTCTTTTAACCCGCCTACCTCACTCTCGGCCCGTCCATGACATGTGTAGTCCTGTCCCATCTGTGTATGAAACGTGCCCATAGTTTTAAGAAATGATGTTTTATTCAAAGAGCTCTTAAATTTATGACAGATACTTGAATAATCAACATTTTTCCCCTTAAACAATGACTTTATTTAGATTGACATGATGGATTAAGTAAATAGGATCTGTGGTTGATTGCAGGTTCCACCTGATTTCTATATCCCTGATTTTGATGAAGACGAGAGGAACCCTGATGAACGAGCAGATCGTAAGTATACAAACCCTAAAACAGCAAAAACTTGGGGCCGTTTTTGCAGGTCTTTTAATCGTTGCTTTTGTTTGCAACAGAGCACACACAAGACAAGCAAATTCAACGTGACGATGAATACTACGAAGGAGACAACGACAACGATCATAACATGGAGGACGTTTAGAAACTGCTGGCATCAGTAGTTGTATTTTGATTTAGGGTATAGATAGAATATCAGAAGAAAGATTAGGGTTTGATGATTTTAAGTCATTTGGAATTACAAAGAAACAATCAAATCCATACAAAATCTTGTTTTATGTTGCTTTTTGTTAGTTGTAAATCTACTTGCAGATTTGTTGTCAGTAAGGATTTTCAATTGTAATTGTAAAGAGAGGATCTTTTGATTTTTGCCTTTTGTTTTGTTCAAATGGACAAACAACCAATTAGGGTTTGTCTGGTTGGTTTTCATTGAACCTTGTATGGATAAAGCTGTCAGTGTGGATTAAGAAAGTTCTTGTCTTAGAAGGGTTGTTTTTTCATAGATGAAAAGAACTACGTCTTTTTAATTGGAAAAAACAGTTTATAAAAAACTTGGTTTTCTACATAAAGCTCGTCTTCTAGAAATCTAATGAATAAACAACTTTTCATATCATTAAGTCACTACTAGACAATTATATATAATTGACCAAATAAGTTGTGAGTCCCACTAAATTGCTAACACACAAACCCATCTCACTTAAAACGGGTAGAATGAAAGTACGAATAATAAGTGCAAATCGAGTTCTATGGTTACAAATGAAGCAAAGAGGTATCCATAGAAGCAAAACAAGAATGGAGCCATCTATGATTCAGCCAAAATGGTTTCCAATAGCGATTCACATGCATCCTCCAACAAATCCAACACCTGTTCAAACCAAATCAATCCAACCCTCAAAACCTTACAACATTCTTCAATAATACATGCCTCAAAAAAATATCAGGGGCTGTTTGACAATTGCTGAATGGTTTGGTCAGAATGATTAAGAGACTCTCGTGATATAATGCAAAATAAAATATAATTGTTTGGTAATTGTGTACAATGAAATTAGGGCTCTTAATGGTTAAAAGAGATCCATGATACAAAATCATTTAGAGGGTTTTAGAACCATTAAGAGGCAAATTTTTTTTTTTGCCAAACAAGATTCATCTCTTAACGATTCAGATGTTGCCTTTTAATGGAACTATTAAGAGGACGAAGAATCAAAATTCAAAATCTTTAAGAAAAATCACCTTCAACTTCAACCGTTTTCTCATTTCAAGATTACAACATTGATTATATTATATCAAAGGGCCTTTGGTCTAGCGGTATCTGAGCCTTTTACCTAAAATCTCCATTTTCTAACCATGTGTTCCTCGTTGTGAAAAAAATGTAACTCCATTGGTTTAGTCTGTTTTTTTTTTTCATTTGCCCATCTCCGTCTACCAACGTATGATAGAAACAAATGCCACAAAAAACAGAAAACGAGAAATATAAACCAAATCAAAACCAATATATCCCACATGACGGTAGAGTCTGAAGGCAGGATGTATGCAAACTTTATCCAAAAAAAACCCGAAGAGAAATGAAAAACCTTGAATCCTCCATACAGATAAGAATTTAGATTGAAGAGAAGTTACCTTCTCAAAACCTTGTGGTCCACCATAGTAAGGATCAGGCACTTCAGTTTCATCATGTTTTTTACAGTAAGAGCACATCAACTTAACCTGCAATTATTATTATTATTATTATTATTATTATTATTATTATCATTATTATTATTATTATTTCTTTTTTTTTGATTAACCTGCATATCCAACCCACTATGCGAGCCGACTAATCCCAGGACGACTACCTGCTTTGCAGATAGCCCGGAGCCGACAAGAGGATTTTTATTCCTCTTTGGATTTGAACTTGGGACCTCCTGGTACTTTTGACCTTTGGAGCCAAACTCAAATCAATCAGTCACCACCCTTCTCCAACACTTTCAAATTCATCACACAAACCTTCTTGTATGCATCAGCTGGTAATGCCTCTCTAAAACCCCATCTCTCTAAAGCTGCAAGTATATCCTCTGCAATCCATACACAAAATTCCACTCAAAATATTCATAAAAAAATTCCATAAGTGTACTGAATACAATGAACCAAAATGTGGATGAATGAGCTTCTCCGTTTTAGTAAGGTAACGTCTGGTACGTAGACCGAATAGGATTGAATAGAACTGAACATGACAGAACTAGACTAACAAGAGAAAACGACGGGACTGAACATGACAAGTTGTCTATCTTACTAGACAAGACTAGGCGTGAAAAGTTGCTCCTAAATATTATTTAATGATTTTATATGGTGGTTACGGGTGGTGGTGTATAACTTAGAAGACCATGCTCTCCAAAGGATGGCGTCATACCCTTTTTTGCAGATTGGTTAATAAAATTCTTGTATCATGAATTAGAGGTACCATTCGGCAAAAAGGGCATGACGCCAGCGTCTTGGAGCGCGTCCACTATACCGATTCTACGGCCATCATAGAGAGGTAAATCGTGTGTATGTCCAGAGGGATAGGTTGGTGACTTGGTGGTGCCTAGAGTTGAACCTCCGACATCCTATTCATTCTGCAAAGATGTCTACCTCCTCGTACACTAACGCCACATAGACATATTGGAGATACCATATTAGATGGCAAAGGACTCTTTGTTTTTATTAACTTGGATATCCAACCCGCTATGCAAGCCGACTAATCCCAGAGCGACCACCTGCTTTGCAGATAGCCCGGAGTCACCGCATTTGAACCTCCGTGGCCACAAGTGGATTTTTATTCCTCTTTGGATTTGAACCTGGTACCTCCTGATACTTTTGACCTTTGGAGCCAAGCTCAAACCAATCAGCCACCACCCTTGTGGTTTGGCAAAGGACTTTTAATGCTTATATAATCTAAACATTGGTTCTTTAACACTCTTTAGCAGAATTAATCCCTCATTCATTAGTGAATACCCTTAAATCCATAATTTACTTTATTGGTGCATGATTTCAAGTTCAAACAACAAAAGAATGGTTATAAAAGAAGGCAAATAAGGGGCTTATTAGCTTATAGTTCATGATCACTATGCTTACAAATCTCACCTTTGTTTTGCTTGTCCATGGCAAGAATGAGATCAAATTCTTTGAAATCCGAAGGCCGTATCGGCCTCGATATCGATGTGATCTCGATACCCCTCTTTTTAGAGGCAGCTCTCATTCGTGAGTCTGCTGGATTGCCCTTCAACAAATCAAAACAAACACGATTGTCAAGGAACATAATTTAAAAACGAAATCAAAGAAATTGATGAACATATCACAAATGGGTACTCCTAAAAATCAATCTCTATTAGCAAATAAGACAACCCATGAAGATAAGTAAATTGTATTGCAAAATGAAGAAGAAATGGAGGAAACGGAAACCCATGATGAAATCAGGCAGAAACCTCATGGTAATTGATGGTACCAGCGGAATCGATGAGGAATTTGGAAGACAGATCCCTTTTCTTGACCAAGTCAGTGAAGACACCTTCAGCAGCTGGGCTTCTGCAGATATTTCCCAAGCAGACGAAGAGAACAGAGAAGGGTTTTTCGATAGTTTTATCTGTTGGAGTTGCTGAAGCCATTGATGATGATGATGATGATGATGATGTGATGATGGTTATGGGGTTTTGTTTGATTTGTGATCTGTGATGAAATAGATTTGAAGTTTGAAAAGGTGGGTGTTGATTTAGAGGAAGAAAGGTGGTTGCAAGAAAGGGGGATTTATGGGAAATTGGTAAGTGGGGGATGCATACTGACCTCATTACTTGCTGCTGTGGGTTTTGGGAGAAAGAAAAGGAGAAGGGAAAGTTTTCAAGGATTCTTTTGTTAGATTTTTTTTATTGGTATCATCGCACTTTCACCACAAAATAAATAAATCTTGAAAAAAGAAAAATGGTGATTGGAATTTCCATTTATAACAATATATATATATATATATATATATAGAGTTTATTTCTTTTACAACCTTATGCATTTGTACAACCTTTGCAACCCAATTAATTGAGATATTTATAGAAATGATTGGAGTTCATTTATTATGATTTGAATATTTATGGAATATGAATAGAGTTTATTAATTATGATTAATATTTTATATTAGAAAACAATTAATTGATTAAAAATTGAATGGTTGAGATGAGGGTTGTATAAGGTGTAAGAATGACAAAGGGTGTAGAATAACATCCCTATATATATATATATATATATATATATATATATGGGGTTGGGTTCACATAAAATCAGTCTATCTTTGTAGACACGTGAGATAACATTTTTACATTTGAAACTTTACAACAAAATGTTATATTCACAGTGTTTTACTGTAAGTTTTGAAGTGTAAAAATGTTATCCACGTGTCTCACGAAAACAATTTTGTCTCACATGATTTCAAGTCTCTCTCTATATGTGTGTGTAGAGAGTTAATTATTTGATTATACTTATCTACAGTTAGTTACACGAATTCAAACATGGAGCTTAATAAGTTATAGCTAGTTTTAAACTTGAATTTTAAGTAATATGCATCAATAAACAGTACTTCATGTGTAAAAAATGGTTTTTAAGAGTTTTTGTCAAATGTTTTATAATATGGTATAGATTAACCCAATTAACAATAGTTCCAAGTTTTGTGATTATATACTCTTTCTGATTTCAAATCCAGAGGTTAATCGTACTCTGACAACTTTATGTAAAACAGAGTTTGGTTTTTTTGGGATGATAGTGGAAAACTTGACAGATAAGTCACTCTTACTGCCATTCTACAAAACCTTGGATCCACATTAAAAGTTTGGTTTCAAAACCTTGCAGGGTCTGATTAGCTGAATCAGGTGGGTTTGTCGCAAATTTTAACCACCCAATTTCAAAGAGTACTAACTGCAAACAACATGATAATCTCTAAATCAAAACCGATGTTCAATCAATTCAGACGCCTGCAAACAGCAAATATCACCAACAATTCCGGGATCTCGATCTCAAGAGAAGAGAGCAACGATCATTTGGAGAATAAGTTAAAGGAAAAAGTAACGGAAACATAACAAGAAACTCTAGCAAGCATAACATGTGCAGATGTGTCGAAACATAACCACTTGGCTAATAGTTTCATATCTTTCACTACGCGTTAAAACTGCGAAAATCTGCGAGCTCTGAATAAATACCAAAAGTTTATGACAAAACTAGGCAATCACTACGAAAAATACATGAACAGCGACAACAAATTTAAAGTATGCGATGAAAACCATAATCCCTTAGTCGAATAGACTGAATCCCATATCCTGAAACGAGGAAACCAAAAGAAATTAAGCATATGAACCAAGAAAACAACTTGAAATAATTTAAGATCAAAGAAGAGATTGTAAGGGAGCTTACATCATCGGATTCCTCTTTCTCTTCAACTTTCTCCTCTTTCTTTGGCTCAGCTGCGGCGGCAGCAGCAGGTGCAGCACCGCCACCAGTGGCAGCAGCAACAGCAACACCACCACCACCGGATGGAACTGAAGCAAGCTTTTCCCTTCCAGCAGCAATCAGTTCTGTGATGTCTTTACCCTTGACTTCAGACAAGAGCAATTCAATTCTATCTTCGTCTGCATCAGCTCCAACTGCAAATCAAAGTTTACAACTCATGAGTGCTTCACATTTTGCATAAATAGAATTAATTGGAAAAAGATTGTCGCCAATAGATCTTTAATGACTAGAATGTGGGGGTAATAATTTAGGCTGTAGGCACAGTTTGGACCAAGGACAACAATGTATAAGCCAAAAGGTGGTTTACATGAAGGTTCCCAATAAACTAAGACTCTGCAGCAGAAGTAAAACTGCATACTCGGTAGTCAGTACCATCAACAGGAAATCAACTAGAGTTATAAGAATAAACCTCAAAGTCAATTACATAGAAATCACCATTCACCACCTGACCAAAATAGCCAATGTCGACCAGATACACCTTTTAGCCACTTTTGACATTGAATTCCCATTTTAGCCAAAGTTACGCGTTTGCTTAAAGCCTATTTTTACAGATAAAAAATTCATCACGCAAATGGGGATCCTCATGCAAATTTGCATAAAGATTTTTTTTCCTTTTTTTAATCTAAAAATAGGCTCTATGCAAATACATAAACTCAGGCTCAAATGGGAATTTGAATGAAAAAATGGTTAAAAAGAGAATTATGTTGGGGAGATTTGCTATTTTGGTCAATTTCCTGATAATACATGGTTCAAATTTTCTGTAGCATTTTTCATCATTATTCATGTTGCCACTCGCATATTCATTTCTTCTCACATGAATTAAGACAACCCACAACCACATCTTCTCATTATTTTTGTTCACAGCTGTATAAATCATAAAAGGGAAATAGAGGTCAATTGCTAATTCTTCATCATCAAGTTTCATGCTAATTCATGATGTGAAATGGGTAAATAAAGAAGTACTATGCAACAAACCATAAATCATAACAAGAAGATGCCATGCCATACAATAACCATAACAAATCAAATGGCAAATCAATGCCATACGCCTCGGATACTCCACAGTTGAACAAGAAAAAAATGCTACTTTATTTATGAATTTACCACTCATTTGAACACTATCGCAATAATATGAAACAAACTCGATCCTTAGCACACACAAAACCATTGAATTATGCATCAAAAAATACCCAAATTCTACATCTTTTCTTCCCTCTCAGTTTCAAATGTTCTATATAAATACAATATGTTGTTGTAGTGTAATCAAAAATACCATTTCCAACATCCCAACCAAATACAAATTAACAATAACAGAGTTTCATATTGTAACATCTTTAACCAGATAAATCAATAGCTTCCGAGTAGCATACTAATGATCAAACACAAAATATTTTCATACACACACACACTGCATATGATTCATACCTGAACCAAGGATTTTCTTCAAATCTTCAGCAGATGGACTAGTGTTACCACCCAATAGAGCCAACAAATACGCAGCGACAACCTTCATTCTGCTGCTTGAAACAACAAATTTTCAATAAACAAATCGCATATCGTCCTTAAAAGCTCTCACAATCACATATCTTCTACATAGTGGAACTGGATCTACATCCATAATGAACAAAAACAAAAACAGATTTCAGAAATGGCATGGAACAGATTGAGGAAGACGATACCTGAAATGTGTTGAAGCCGATCTGTATCTCTTGCCTCCTTTGAATTTTTTAGGGTTCAGCAGTACGCTTGAAACCCTAAGTCCATTTATAACTAACTAATAATAGCTTCGTGGGACTACAGAATGAGCTACGATTCATTTCTTATTGGGCCGGACCGGTCCAGTTTGTTTACCAGGCCATTATAGACCCATCATGAGCCAGTTAAAGAGCAAATTACGTTTTTAGTACCTATGGTTTTCTAAAATTTCCGTTTTTATCCCTATAGTTTTGGAATTGCGATTCTCATCCTTATAGTTTATGATTCCTTGTTATTTTTGTCCTAAGGATAACAATTTTCAACAAAACACATACATAAAAAACGTATTTCATTCTTTTTTTTAAATAATAATATTATATTCTTTTATAAATTATTTTAATTTACCATTAACATAATCTTACAATAACCACAATGGTGGTGCCTGATTGGTTTGAATTTGGCTCCAAATGTCAAAAGTACCTGTAGGTCCCAGGTTCAAATCCAAGGAGGAATAAAATCCTCTTGTGGCCATGGAGATTCAAATTCGGTGACTCCGGGCTATCTGCAAAGCAGGTGATCGTCCTGGGATTAATCGGTTTGCATAGCGGGTTGGATATCCATGTTAATAAAAAAAAAAACATAATCTTACAATGTTTTGAATATTAATGATTAATTATTTAAGTTTTAAATTACACCAAGTATCAGCTTAAAGAATTTTCAAGATGATACAACGTCGTCTTTTTTAAGATATATTGGAACAACGTTACAATTCTTTCGCAGAATTATAACATGAAGTATTCTTGATTATTTCAACTTACATACATATATATATATATATATATAATGTTTATCATGTATTTTAATTTAGTTATCGGATTCTTTAAGATTTGTTTGATTTGCAGAATTATTTTTAAAAGATTTGGATTTTATGGAGAGGTTTGGATTGTAATGGAATTGAAATCATTGGAGTGTTTGGTTTGTAGGATTTGAAATAGAATTGGATTCCATTATTTATAAAAATAATTAAATTACATTTTTTTAATCGATCACTACAAAACAAATGTTTTTTAGATCTTTTGAAATCTAATTGCATGCAATACTATGAAATCCCGTGAAATCCGAGCACCCCCTAAGAAATTCAAAATCCTATGTTTGTAAGATTTTAATTAAATCCTAAGATTTCAGATCCGGATAATCCAACAAACCAAACATGAGATTTGAATGGATCTGAAATACAAATCCCCCAAATCCATTACATACCTGCAAACCAAACGGGAACTTAAGGGAAATAAATACATTAAAATCAATTATAAATCGTAGTTCGTCAATCACTTAATAGGGTCTGTTTGGTTTACATGATTGTTTTTTAGGGATTTGGATTTAGATGGATTTGGACAGGAGTGAATTTGAAATCATTGATGTGTTTGCTTTGTAAAATTTAGAATGAAATTGTATCCATTATTTATAAATGATTTATAAAAATAATTAATTTATATTTTTATTAATCAATTATTATAAAACAAAAGGCATGAACATGTTTTGTTGTTTTAGAACACACCACAAAAATGACAATGTTTGAAATGCTTATCGTATGTTTATTGACATAGACCAAATTATTGATGTCTTCACATAACTGGACAAAACAAAAACTTCATGTTACAGTTTTGATCAGACGTTAAAGAACTGAGTGCACCAAATAGCTAATTTTATGTTTCACCAAAATAACTGAAACAAAAATTAGGAAGACAAAACAAGATTGGTAAATTATTAAACTACTCATGTCAAGTTAAACCCCTAAAACCGTTCTCATTCTTTCACCTCCTTACCTCAATGTCTTCCGTCCAATAGTCCCGTTTGCTAACCGAACACATCATTGTTAAACAATTTGTGAACCTAGCATTCAAACGCCAATGAAATAATCTCTCTCAAAGACAACACCACAAGTTTTACCAGGCCTTAACCGGTGTATGGAGTTGCAAAAAGACACGTTTAACCGATCCTTGACCAACCAAGAAAACCGATCTTGACTTGGACCAGGACCAGTTTGGACCCACCAGGTCCAGCCTGATTCTGGTCCAGTTTTCTAGACATTTGAACACCTCTATTGAAGATGTCACTTTCAACTCAAGTAAAAAAGAAAAAGAATACATTATGCAATTCCTACAAAAACCAGGTGACGGAAAAATAATGGTGTTGAAAAAACTTGGCCAATCTCCATAATTTTACATACCAATCTGCTTTCAAGAGATGCCCAAAATCTAAATCTCATTCTTCACTCTTCTTCTTCTTCTTCTTCTCTTTTTTCTTACTTGGTGTTTCTATTTCGGTTTCGGCATGCTTTCTCTTCTTCTTCTTCTTCTTCTCATCGCCATCTTCAACGGTCTCTTCGTTCTGCGCCTCATCCTCTTCATTGACTACGTGTTTTTGCTTTTTCTTTTTCTTACCGACATCTTCATCGGCTGCTACATCATCCGTCACAACCGCTTCCTTCTTTTTCTTCTTCTTTTTATCTTTCTTTCCTTCAGACGGTTCTTCTATCTTTGGTACCATCTTTTCGTCTTGTTCAGCCTCTGCTTCTATTCGTCCAAGAACAGAGTCTGCTGCTGCATTGTAAGTCTGCCCAACAAACCATTTTCAGTTTAACAAAGATTGGTAAATGAAATTTGGCCATACTTTCGGCATATGCTATTCATCGTTATAACCACTGTATTGTAACAGTTATAATCGAAGAATGTTCCTCCAGGATTTTATTCAACCAAATTCTACATCAAGATGCTCATCGAACTGGGAAAGGCCCAAAGAAATTCTCTTTTCGGTCATATTTGGTTTGCAGGATTGGATATGGAGGGCTTTGGAATTGAATTTCGTTCCTCCCATGTTTGGTTTTAAGGATTTCCTAGATTTTTGAAATCTCGGGATTTCATTGAAATCCCACACACGTAGGATTTTAAAATCACATGGGGGTGGTTGGTATTTCACGGGATTTCGTAGAATTTGTATATAACAATGTTTTAAAATGTGTTAAAAACATTTGTTTTATAATGATCAATTATAAAAAGGTAATTTAATCATTTTTATAATTTGTTTTTATAAATAATGGAATTCAATCTCATTTCAAATCCTACAAACCAAACACACCAAAGATTCCAAATCCTTCCATAAAATTCAAATCCCTCGAAGTCATTCCATCAAACCAAACGACCCCTAGGGTGGTTTGGTACAAGGATGAATGGTCGAGACTGAGGTAGGCGGATTAATGAATTCTGGAAGGTCTTAGGGTTCTAATTTGACATGGGCAATTTAGTAATTTTCCAATCTTGTCTTATCTCACGGATCTTTATTCCACCTATTTTGGTCGGACAGAAAAAATGCATGAGGACCTATTTTGATATGGGTAATTGTGGAAGGTATTTGGACCTGTAACTTGCTTAGGCCAGGAAAACGTAACGGCCGTTGCATAGAGCAGCCAATTTAGGCTAGGGACAACAAGCTTTGTCCTCTCCCATCCCGCATACCAAATGCACCCTTACAGATATTGAACCTTATGGAGTATGGTTCAAGAGGCATTCAGTAAATCAAAGAGGGCAAAACCGTAACAATGTTCAAGTTCATAAGCAAATTCGAAAACAATGCAAGTAATATGCACACCTTTGCAGCAGTAATGATCGCCCCAGCTCCCGTCTTTTGATCCTTGTTGTAGAATTCGATTTTAGGTTTGCCTTTAGTTGCTCCAGCAGATCGGTTAAGTTCACGTCCTTCAAGATTCCTTAATCTTGCTTCAAGCTAAAGTCGATAGAAGAAAAAAAAAACAATAAGTAGCGTATAAAACAAGAAGCATATGCGTTCCGTGATAATCTATTTGTCATCGTTACCTTGAGACGGTTCTCCACACCCATAGAATTATCTTGGCCTTCTCCAAGAGCGTCATACCGAATTGCCAGAGCGGTCTTGGAAGCAAGAGATCGCGAAATTTTCCCTTTATGCTTTGGTGCTGCTTGGCCAATCAAACTTGCATGGTAAATAAGCCCGTATTTAGGAGTTGCGTGTTTCGTCTTCAACGCCCTAAAAAGAGCCTTCTCTGCACCGAGAATCTGAACGGTGCTCCCGGGTTGTTTTGCAAGATTCAACAAGCTGCCCCCATGAGCAATGAGGCGAGCCCCCACAAGCTCTCCAACAAGAGCAGTAAGGTTTGGTGCAACGGTATTCATCCTACTTTTCAAATAATCATACAGCTGAGCTCGGTATTCTGAAAGAGAAAGAACTTGATCACATAAATCTTTGATGTTTATCAAATCGAGATCACTGACTTCTGTTCCCATTGAAACAACAGCTGCCTCTTTCAGTTCTGTCTCAACCTCTTCTGCAAGTATCTGCAGGTGATTGAAGTTAGCATCTTGTAAGCATCAAACTAGAATCTATAGAACAACTATCTTAGTACTCCCTCCATCCCAAAATAAATGCCCTCAATGAAAAAGAGACAGTGTTAGGAATGTGTAATCACTAAGCCAAACCAAACCACGGAGATGGAGTTTGGAAGGTAAGATGTACACTAATCTGACCTCTACCCAAAAGAGTAGAGTGAATGTATCCGTGAGGACACCTGGCTAGTGCAACATTTAATCATTATACTTTTTAATTACCTAAATGACAATTTTACCCTTAATGTTAAGGTAGTAAATAATTTCTTATCTCATAACTTCTTACTTTTGGAAGTGAACAGCTATTTTGGGACAAATTTTTATAGAAATGTGAACAGTTGGACACTTATTTTGGTACTGGGGAGTAACATGGAATTTATATCGATACCTCAGATAAATCAAGTTTTGCAGCATTTGTTCGATACCCCATGAGCTTTACAGCCTTGGCATATAGAATGTTGTCTTGAACAATTTTTGCAAGCTCTGGAAAATGCCAACCATACCATTCTCGAACCCTCATTGCATAAGTATTAAGCTCTTTATCAAGATCATCTAGAAGCCCAATAGCCTGAATGATCATAGTATCTACCTGGTACAACAATATTCAGTAAGTAGCTGAAAACCATGTTCACACCAGCAGCATGAAAGTCAATCACCTGAACATACTGACAGATCAAATAAGAAGTAGGTAACTTAACTAGGGTTTAAAGAAAAGAGTATTGATTTCAGACCCCTGTTCAAGCCTAAGCAGTTAACGCGGTCGATTGCGGAAATAGTGATCGGCACCTTGATTTGAAATAGCAGTTATCGCGATAACAAAAAATTATGTTCTTAAAATAAATATGAACATATATAAAACATAAAATAGTGTATGTCTAATACATATCAAGCCAAACAATTCAAACCACACAAGCAACATAGTAATAAACTTTATTAAGCTCATAAACAATCACATGAGCGAACTGCAATCCACAAGCTCGGCATTTGAATCCACATCATTTATACATCCACTCCCGCAGAAAACCCGTGGAATCGAGATGAAAACTCGAGCTGTTGAAGCTTTTTGGACTTGGAATTGATGCCAAAGTTTGATCTAATTGTTTCTATTGTTGATTTAATCAGTTTCCTTTTTGTTTGCAGGCCTAAGCTTGACTTTAAATAGCCCACATAAATGACGCAACAAAAGCCCAAACAGAATTTAAATTAAAAAGGGAGTCCAAAAGAGCCCAAAAGAAAAATCGGTAATAGCGACTGCTATTTGGTATCAAAATTGCGGTAATGGCGGCCGCTATTTGCGGTACCGCTATTTTGGCCAAGACCGCGATTTCGCCGCTGTAGCGCGCTATTAACTGCGTAGTTTCAAGCAAAACTAAGCAAGGGAGATTAGATAAATAAAATCATGAAACTGTTGGTAAAACTATCAGAAAGATGTAGACTAGATAAAGTCAGCAAGACTGGGTGAAACACATGCATTTGCTACTGAAAAATCACCACAATAAGAAACTTCAAAAGCATATGATACTGGTTTAACAGTCTTCTAAACTGACCCCTGTATCACATGCTTAGTTGGCAATGCAAGCAAGCGAAATCATCAATTGAATAAAGACTATATAGGAAGTGCATACAGTTTTGGCTATTCTAGGATAAACTCATTGGCATAAAGCGGATGGGAACTTTGAAAAACCCGAAAGAAGGGAATGAATAAGATCCAATTAGACCAATATGCTAATAATGTATGAGAAGAAGCTGACCTTATCAGGACTGAACTTAAGCTTGTATCTGGACAGGCTGTGAGATAACCCCAAGCTCATTGGAGCTAAATCTTGTGAACCTAGACCGGTTATGAGTTCAGTCAATTGGCTTCTCACTCCTCTCATTAGCTCCATAACAGCATGGTTGTGAACACAATCAATTTGCTGCAACAATGATTATTTTGAATTTTATTTGAGCATATAGCAAGTGAATTACAGAAAGAAACAATCACGGTTCAAGTCAGTGATACAACTTACGAGCTTCTCCTTGATCACATTTCCAAGTTTGGAGTCAGCAACAGCTAACGTTTCACCATCACAATGAGCACGCAAAAATTTGCGCAAACCTTTGCTGGGCTTGCTGTCTATTAACAAAGTGGCTGCCGACAGTGCCTCTGCTGTGTTCTCAAACTTGGAGAAAGCTTTTAGCTTTACCACCTATTGTTTAGAATGATTTTAGAGGGACAAATTGTAAGGTTCATAATAAAGAAACTACATGTAGACTACAAGCCATGAAATAGGTTTGAAGGCATTAACAAATAACTAAACATACAGAAAAATGAAATAAGATGAAGAAAAATATTACAGCATACCTAATTAATGGCAATAAATGACTTTTTAACAAATTCATATGCTAATAAACCTGAACTTGATATGTAAAATCATAACCCATCGATTCACATCCTCTAATCAACTAAAGAAGGTTCGATATTTTAAATGAAATCCTTGAGTGATTATCATTTCAAATTACTATGCTTTGGCATTTCATTTCAACCAACTATCTATTTGTGAAAATACAAGTATACAACGGTGCTTCAACTGGTGGAAAATAGCGAAAACTAACTCAAGTTAGTGAAAAATATCAAACACAAGATTCTAGTTTTACTCTAAAGCATGAAAGTGCAATCATCCAAACTCCTAATAACCACCGAACACCATAGCAATACGAAAACAAAATTTGCTGTCACAGAAACTCAAAACATCACCACCATGGAAGACAAAAACACAACACTACACTACATCTCAACACTTGATATAAGAAAAAGGAAGCTATGAACACAAACTAATAATTAAAACTGAACATTCAATTTGTTCTTTGATTGTTAATAAACTAGAAATCAAATGGAATTACTAATAAATTAACATTTTACCTGTCTGGATGTCTCGGCGGATGAGAAGTCCTTCCACAAATCCTATGAACACAAACCAATAGTTATAAATCAATTACACATACACACATTCATAATAATTGCAGGTTTGTATGTAATATATACACACACACACACACACATATATATATATATACTCACATCAACTTTAGAGAGCTTTCCTTCATCTAATACTTTGAAAAGGGCAAATCCCGCAGGGGTTTCGAACAGCACCAACATTCTCTTGATCCCTTGGCACAATTACACCTATAAACACACAAAAAGCTAAAAGTTCAGCCCTGATTTTCATCAAAGAAGAAGATCAATGTTGGAAAAAGATACGGAATCCATGGAAGGGAGGAACAATAACCTAAGAATGGCGTTACCTTGGAAGCAGCAGAAGTGATGGTGGTTAAGAAGGTGGAAGAGGGTCTAGGGTTTAAGAAAGGCGGAAGAAAGTGAGTGTTTATGTTTAAATAGTGGAAATTGCATTGAAACCTAAATGCGTAAAATTTGAAGATTTTTTTGCCTATTCATAAAAACCAATTTTAATATTGTAAATAAATTGTATACGAGTATAATTTATTACAGCTATAATTTTTTTAATTTATGTAATTAATTATAGATAAAAATAATTAAATATAAGATAAATATTTTATTTTAAATATAAAA